TCATAATTCAAAACCCACTTTTTATACTCTATTGTATTAAGGTATTTTTGGAACCGGAATTTTATAGCAAATTCATTGAACTCGAATAAATAAATGATATATATTTGACTCATCCTGTATATCTATAAAAATATTTTTGAAATGTAAACTACCATTAAACATGTATTTTGTAAAAGGTTTGGAGCGAAAATATCAAACAGGAATCCTGATTTTCCGGAATACGGAGCCATCTTGTATGTATGCATTTGTATATGTGTGTTTATTTAAATACTAAAGTGAAAGCAACGAATTTAAATGGGTAAACTTTGTTAAATATAAAAATAAAATAAAATATCTTATTAACAATACAATGCAAAAAGTTTTATAAAAATTCGTTCACAGTAAATGAATTCCGAGGTTCGTATCCCATAAGGGCTTAAAGCACTCCACTATGAACACTGATGAAGAAAAATGATATTTGTCAGTTCATACTTTAAAGTACACTTGCGGCCTCTTTTGATATACTAAGTTGGATAACTTAAAAGCTAAAAAATCAGCTTTAGTTAGCTGATTTACTGTTCTGCTATTATTTTTTATACGAAATATGTAATTTTCAAAATGTGTAGCTCGGGCGATTGTGGTTGTTGCTAGCAAATGTGTACCAAAGTAGGCAATTGTGTAGCTTGTTTTCAACCCTGCTTAAAACTACTGAACTTGTATATTAGAGCCAACCATTCACCCGTGAATTAGTTGGGTGCAGCAAATAACTAAACTAATTCACCCGTGAATTAGTTGGGTGCAATTGTTGTCGAGCATGAAAAAATCCACTAAGAATACCTGCATTGGAGCGTTTTATGAGTGGTTAGTGGTTGCCATATTGTTGAAATTTCCATACTTAGACTGCTAAAGATTTTATTATTGTTAGAAATGAATACGGCCTCTTTAAATTTACGCTTTTACCAATTGGTTCTCTTCGCACCAATGCGCCACCCTGAGGAGGATGCACTCTCTCTCTCACTTGACAATTCCATACCTATGTCAAAGAAACATCTGAGAAAATCAGGCGAATAGCTAAGGGTACGTTTATGTTGGAGCTGCGATAAATGATAAAAGCAGTGAATTAGCGCTGCTCTTATCGTTGCTCAACTGCCAACCGTGTCTCGACGCGTTGCTCCTATATAAACACCTACATACAGGGTGGGCCCCTACACAGGTGGCACCCCTACTCACTTGAAAATCTTAAATGGCAACACCCCATTTATGGCGCCTTTTTGGAAAGCCTATTAAAAATGCTAAACGATGATCATAAAGTTTTTAGGGTGAAATTGAAAAACTACCCCTTACACGAAAAATTAGGTGGACATTAATGAAAAAAGTGATTTTGGGACCCAGCTAAATTAGTCAAATGAGGTATTTTTCAAACCACCCCGACCCACCCCTAGGTGCCACCCCCTCACTTCTAATCTCAACAATGTCATTTTGAAACCATTGCCAGCCATTTTTAAAGCTAAAAATAAAAAATGTAGATAATAAAAAAGGCAATACAAAGATGTTTTACTAATCGTTCAGCCTAATTTTGCGATAACGCAAATTCTTCCTTATCATCTATTTTTTACTTTCAACAAACAGGAATCTTAAAACGTTTTCTTAAAAATTTTTGCGTTTTACTGTCTCTCTATCGTTTTTCAATCGTTTTACAAATTTGGAGTTATTTTAAACCTTTATTTGATTCCCTTATTTGAAAGAAAAATGGTTTATACTGTGTGGAAGAAAGAATTCAAATAGTTTTTCTTAATGGTGCTGTGAAAGGTATGTGTTATTTTGAAACGGTTATGTTATTCGTTTATGTTAGAGAATTTGATTCTAAAGTTTCAAAAACTGGATCGGTCAAAAAATAAAAAAGTACAGGGCCAAGATACTGAATGAAGAAATGCAGATGGAAGTTATTGGTCAGGGTATCGGTCAATCCACAAGCATCAACACGCCACACAGTGGGAATATCGACACAATAGTTGATCGAAATTTTTTATGTAGACTATATAAATTATTACTATTTTCAATTAAAGAGGAAATATATGAACAAAATAAAGGATAATTCCGTCGATTCTAAAAAAAGAAAGAAAAATCACTGTTCCAGTGTTTCCACGGTCAATGCCACTAATGCCAGTAGTAATATCGCAACTAATACTACTAATGCTACGACTGATCCGCGAGCAGTGCCCATACCACTAAAGTCGCTACTAATGCCAAATTGTGCTATACTGCTAATAGCACTAATGCGATCGCTTTGTACACAACAATGCCATCGCGGTTTACACCTCGCATTAGTATATCACTGATTGGCATATTAGAGGAAACCAAGAATGTTTTTCTCATTTTATCAGCAAAGTCGCAAAAAGTCGCAGTATTTTATTTTACTGTATGAAAGCCTAATGTTTACTAAGTAAAACGTATATACACAATATGCCGAATTCTTCGAAATGCGCAACTAAATCTCAAAGTAATAATAAAAATGTCACAAATTTAATCAAATTTTCTGAACGCCTAACTGTTAGTTGCAAAAAAAATCGTTAGTATAGAGAATATCAAAATAAATAATACGTTTTTGTAGAATACATACCTGCAGCTTGCTGAGCCATTTTCAATCAAAACAATAATATAAACGTAAAAAGAGCACAAGAACAACAACAATTTATAATTTTAAACATAAAATTTAGCCATTTACCTCTTATCTGTGAGAAGTAACAACTTTGACGTTTCGTTGAAACAAATGAATGCAACTAAACACACCCATAGCAACGTCATTCATGGCAGACATGATTTAACTTATCGTTTATCTTTTTTTGGGAAATCTTAAAAACATTTGCTTTTTCGAATTTCGATCACCTTTTTCATGCTAATACCCCATCGTGCGCCAGTTGGCATCAATCACAGGTATACCTCGAACATCTGTCAGAAGTCAGAAGAGTATTGAAAATGCACTCCTATTTGTTGAAAGTAAAAAAATAGATGATAAGGAAGAATTTGCGTTATCGCAAAATTAGGCCGAACGATTAGTTAAACATCTTTGTATTGCCTTTTTTATTATCTACATTTTTTATTTTTAGCTTCAAAATGGCAATGGTTTCAAAATGACATTGATGAGATTAGAAGTGAG